GGAATAAGTGATACATGTATCTTATGTTCCATAATAAACATATTTTTTTTTAAACACATGGCTCAGGTCACGGCTGGAAGTACCTTGTACCTCTCCCCCCTCCACCTCCTATACACAAATTTTCTAAGTCTCAAAACTGATGAAAATGTGTCATGCAAAAATTGTAAATACGAGTATGTTTAGAAAATTCTAGTATAGATAAATCTTCTTTTTCTACTTATTTATTCATAAATAAAAAGAAAATATATGTGGAGCCCGTCTATTGTTCTCGTAGAAACTTTTTCATAAGAAAAACTCGAACTCCAGTGTTCAGTTACACGAACACGTCGATGTCGACGTCCTTTCATTCATTAAAAGCCTATGTACATTAAGTATCGAATGCATTAAAAAAAATATCTAAATAAAATCTCCTAATGAATAAACTATTAAAGTGCAAAAATGTATTCCTAAATCACAAACCTAATTAGTGAATTCTATTGATTGATAATGGCTAATTTGAAGCACCAGCTGCGGTGCTGCGGTCCAATTATTGTTCGCGCTGGGAGTCGTTAAATTTTGATATAAACGACTTAATGAATTAGAAACTTATGAAGACAGTTATAAATGTTTTGTGTGCAAAAAGCTTGTTATAAAGTATACAGTAAGCGCGTCCTCGTTTACCTAAGCAAATCAGAGAGCGGGTGGTGGTGGAGTGTAAGCGTGTTGGGTCGCGCAATTATTTCGACATTATTGCCCCACTTTGTTCTCGTTCCACTACTACATACATGTATCACAGAGACATACTGCTATAATATTCTCCTCCTTCACATAATCTCATCTTATGACATCTACATCATAAATTATAAGTAGTTAGTTTAGAACATATCGACGTAGGAAAGCATATTTGCTGTAAGTAGACAAAATACCTAAAGTTACTTTTTACTGACATTAGAATCAGAAAAAAAAACGGGTCCTGTGTCTCTACGATGAAAAAAAAATTTACATACGCCCTTGAAAACGCCCGTACTTATATTTTTTTAGCAAGATTAAATGCTGTATGTAGACCAAAATCCAGTAATTTTAGACAATTTGTACTTACAGCAAAAGAAAAACTGCATTTTTTTCTTTACAAATACTTACTTCTTCCCATTTAAAAACTTAACGCTACTTACAGCATTTCTGCGGCGTGTGATTTTTACATTCGTTTACTTACATAAACCTTAGGGAACCTACAGTTTTAGTTTTTTTTTTACCATTTACGACATTTTATTTCAACCAAACATTACATTACCGAATGACCCACTGCATTTCTAGATCTAATCATAATTATAAACTAATCTTACATCTTGAATTGCAATTGAAAGTACCCAAATACATAAATTTACTGCATACAGCATATTTACCGCTTGTAAATTGATAATATTTCCGCGCGTACATTTTTCTTCCTTAGTTACAGCGTTTTAAAGGTTTGTGATTTAAAAAACTGTTAAATAAATATATGTTTCAAAAATGATAGCAATATCATGGATAGGTTCGACACTATTAATTTTTTTCCAAAATTAATTAAGTTTTTTGGCTCTGGTGAACAATTGCAATATGTCTACTTACAGCAAATATGCTTTCCTACGTCGATATATTTAGTTTTTATAATTTCAAATAATAAAAGTAAAAAATAACCTATTTTGAAGAAAAAAAATGAACAAGACTTAAAAATTAGTTTGCCAAAAAAGTTTCACTTCTGACATGTATACTTTGTACGGCCAAACAATAAGAAATGGTGGACAAAAAGGCAACACAGTTTTTTTATTTAAATAAAATTACAAATGTAAAATTCTAATAACGAGTGTGACCTCCTCTTGCCAAATCACAGCTTGAATCCTTCGGGGCATACTTTCCACGATGTTTTTAATAACGTTTTGAGGATACATTCTCACTGCAATGACTCTTATTAGCACCCTGATGTTTTGGGGAGTTCTTACTGGTATTTTATCCCAGACATTAGGTCTTGGAGCTGACCAATTTAAACGATGGATCCCAACTTCTTGCATGTACGCTTCCACGTCGCCAAAACAGAGTGGGCGTGCCATTGGCGTCCATAAACAAAAAAATTAATTAACTGAAATCGACCTTAGTACGTAAATTTACCAATAAATTATTTAAATACACCAATAGTTTTCGTATAAACTTAGAATGACAAAAAATATGTCTAAAAAGAATACTGTCACTAATCTCTGTACCATGATATAGCACTGTTTTGGAGTTATATTAGTGAAATCCACAATTTATTACAATTATGTCAATCTTTGTCAACTTTTCGGATCGATGAGTAATTTGATTGCCTACTGAACCTTACTGTGGCTGAATGTGCTCTACTGTAGTGTACACAAAGGCTATCCCATTACGCATCACGATAACTACTTAGCAATATTCTGCAACGGTAAGTCTATTTCCTTTATACTGACCTATTTTCATAATGCTATGCTATATTTAACCGACTTTACTAAACTTTCTTAGAAATATGTTATTCATTATGTTTTAGTGCATTTTTAGAGTCGGTTACATAATTTTGAAATATAATTAAGATCGGAAATTAGTGAAATGAAATTGCTTACTACTCACGGTACTTTAATCCATTTAAATAGTTGAGACAGAAGTCTTCAGGCGCAATCGAGAAAATTTAAAGTAGCACTAAGCTCGTTGCTGATGTTTCTGAAGCTGAAGCTACAAATAAAATAAAGTTTTTACAACGAGGCATGAATAAGTAGAGACTCATAACGAGAATTCGCTTCATTTCACTGTGATTGCGGTCGAGCCAAGCTCTCGTCAATAAAGTAACATTTTTATGAGCATTTCATTTCTCCGCAAGTATACCTAGTTCTGATCTACAGGTACGAGGCTGTGCCACTTGTTGTTCTGAACCACTTTTATGAGACCAATTTCAGCATATATCATATGTAATATTTATCCTTTATTTTAATGTGGGTTTGTTAGATTCTTTATTTATCAATCATTTGCAACAGCAAACACCCTGGGAACTGGGAACAGCCAGCGGTTTCAGCTGCGTCAATCAAAAGACACTTTATAACCATTATTTTGCCGCATTAAAACTATGTTGTTTCGTGAAATATTCATTGTAATTTAAAATAATGTCGATGGCGATTTTGTTATAAACTAAATACTGGTAATTAATACCGTATTCATTTGGATAGGGATTAATATAATTGTGCTAGCTAAGGCTCCGTTTTACTCAGTCACTCACATAGTTTACAATAATTATGCTTACGAACACGATTACTTTTTTTCTGTTACAGAAACATTTATCATTGATGCTCTGATCCTATTGGTAGGTATCGTAATAATGTAGCTTTATATTCGTGAGAGAATTTTTAAACAAATCAAAGCCTTCCTCTTTGAAGAAAAAGATGACATACTAACAAAGGATTCAAAATATTCCAACGTGTGTTACAGTGTTTATTTTTACGAGCTCGCTTGGTATAAATTTGTCATAAACATACTAATATTATAGTGGAATTGTGAAAATATTCCGTGTTCCTCTTGAAGCGGTAATAAAAGATGACGCGTATACGTAAGGCGCGAAAATCGGATGCTTGCGTCACGAGCCAGCACCCCCACTCGCCTCATCGCACTTGTCTATCATATTTACATTATATTGACTGCATTATGCACATAAATCTCTCACATGCATCGTATACGCATCTAGACATTTTCGAATTCAGTAAAGGCGTTATTATTTATTTTATTTTTATCTAGTAAAACGTTAGGTTCATTCTACTCTTGTAATCCTTACAACATTAAAAAATTGTAAATTGAGGCCTAAAGCAACCGCGACATATAAAGGAAGCGTAGAGGGATAGCCTTAATAATAAATTTCAAGTTATCTGCAGATTAGTGAATCGAGCGTAATTCGGGGCGAGATGTGAAGGTGGGTGGGGTGGACATGGGTCAAACAGAGGAATTCAATTACGTCATCCCGAACGTTACCTTTACTTAAATATTTTACGCGACAGTGAATAAACTTTTACATCGGAACTATTCAATCTGCGTTTAACATATGTTGGTATAAACTTAAACGAGTAGATATTGCTAGAATAGTCTACTGCATTAGCATACCATTAAAGGACCTGTATTATTAATAATAACTATAATACAGATGTTATCTACAATGGCATGTTATTAATATCACTTTTATAAATTGCAATTTAGCAATCCTCTAACAATGCCTGTCTTCTATATATAATTGAATAACGGCATAATAAATGGCCTCGTTTAATACAACGTGACTTCGATGAATTGATTCATATTAAATCAATGTTAATACGTTACTTTAACATTCATATTAAACGATTGAGCATTGTGTAATCAGCCCTTAATTCGTTCCAAATAATTTATTGCTTACATTACACACACATGTAGGTCGAAAGCACGCCCACTTCATTTTATTTGTAAGTAAAATTGCATAGAATTTTTGTAGATTGTAAAGTAGAACACTTGTATAATTAATGAGCGTGGGCTTCATCTTGGCCGGTTAAATTAACGAATACATCATCTCTCGAAATCACTGAAGTTACAAGTGAAATATTTTAGGACTAAAGCAAAACAAAAGCAACGCGTTTTCCGATGATTGCAAACGAATTAAATCCTGATATAAAATGCATTGGTGATATTAGTGGTTAGGGTGGAGCGTGAATTTTTTTTTGGGCTTTTGATTTGGGCTGGGTTGGGAATCGGTGCTCCATAGGGATACGAACGAAAGATACTATGACAGGATTTTGATATTAACAGTAGAAATTGTGCCCCAAAGCCACTGAAAAAAACATGAAAGTCCAAAAACAGGGGTTCAAATTAAAATCAATAAAAAAATAACTGTAAGTATTCTTATATATTTTATTTATTAATATTAATATATGAATACCAATAAAGGCATAAAATCAAATAGTTTATACAATTAAGACAAGGAAAAGTTAGGAAAAATACTGCAAATGGGGTAAATTTCCTAAAAATTACTTAGTTCTGTACTCTGCCTTGGTATTGAAAATCAGCATGATTTTACAGGATTTCAACGTATTTTTTATCCATCCTTCCCGTCTTTCGGGCCCACATACAGCAGAGCACGCTTCAGTCACAATTTTGATGCACCTTTCACTTGCTTGAGTGTGACACGGCATTTGACTATAGAGTGTCAAAATTTCAGTTTCTACTATATCTGGGTTGGCGATAGCATCCTTCAATAAGTCGGTGCTAATTTGTTTCAGGACTGGCGGTTCAGAAACTTTGTCCCATTCAATCAGGTCATATACTCTGCGTTGAAGTTCAAGCTTGGCACCTTGAAGACTCTGATAGGAGCGAAGATCGACGTTTTTTCCCTGATAATCACGATCCGCCTGAGAGCTAGTTCTCGGATGTGGCTACTCTTTCGCAGTGACCGAAATAGCCATTCATTTGTATCACGGGGTCGACAATATTCTTTAAGTGCGTTGGAATATACCGAGTCAATTTAATTGTCTCGTGTAGGTGTTTTGCCCCGTAAACACACAAAGGTTTCGTTTTTATATGGAACCACATTGGGACGTAAACCTTCAAGACGAATTCAGTCACAGTCATCTGTTTTTCAGTCTGATTCTTGGTGGAAATGTACAACCTGAGAATTGAGTTGGCTGTCGTCATCCAACTGGATGGACTGTCCTAGGTCGAGCTGAGTGGAAATCTGTGAGCTCCTAGTTTGGGTACGGGCTCGGCGGATCTTACTACGATCGACAACATTCTTGCAATCATCTTCAGTCACTAAGCCGATATCTTGTAATGCAGCAGGCACAATAGCAGCTCCTCCGTGCTCTCGCCTTCAACTGAAATAGGTCACTAATGCATTTTCATTGGTCACAGCAGGTCATCGCGTAGTCTACCTCGGCGCGTAGCAGAAACAAAAAATTACAAAATTTCGCGATATTTTATTAAATTGTCAACGATATTTCGTGGGTAAATAAATGTTTTTTTTTATTTCTTTCGCAATTTTTCTGTGGTTGTCTTCATCGTTAATCAATACTAAGTGAGAAAATGCATATTTTACTTTTAGAATTGATACGAGACAAGTTGTTGCACTACCCTCTTTTTCGAAAATTTGTGTATATTTCAAGGGCTTTGGGGCACAATTTGCAGTTAAGATATTGAATCCAAATTTTCTGTGCTTAATATGTTTGTACCGGAGCACCGATTCCGTACACCGCCTTTTTGAAATTCGAAAAAAAAACCTCCATACAAGCACGCTCCAGCCTATTAGTGGTGTTAGTCTAGATCTTGTTTGCTTACCGTGGGCAAACAAAACGGCGCGCCAGAGATAAGGTAGGTACTCGCGTGTGATCGATGCGTGTCGAGGCTAATATTAATATTAATTAGACAAATATTAAAATGAACTAATGTAATACATTAAATGTAAAACTACACTAAATAATATTCTACTTACCACAATATCGCATTTATAAGTTTTGAAATTTATAGCTAGTCTTAGTTAGCCTAATCAACATAATTATAATTGTATTGTTTAATGAAACTAACCTAACCTACACTAGTACCTTTACCTATAATAGAATTATCGGTCAAAGATTAAATAGTTTCTGAAATCATCCGTAACAATAAATCTTACCGCGTTTCAGTAATATAAATGTAAATAAAGCTTTTAAATGAGTGAGTATGTTTTCAATAGTATGACATAGTAATATTTGACCAATTGGAATGACTTAAATACCATTTTACGTCTAATGAAGAGAATAATCCAAGTCTATCAGTAGAGTAGTTAAGATTAGAGCCACGCCAGTGGAGGGACATTGCTTAATGACAGCTTGTCGACATTTGGTGAGACGGTAAATAATTGAGAGCTCTCTATTGTGCGCCGTACAAAAGGCCAAAGATCTAGGACGAGCTGACACCCTGCTTCACACAGCGTCGTGGTGTGTATGGTTCGGATATACTGCAAACTATAGTATAGACAATTTTTTTACAATATTTATCCATGTCAATATAACATTTACTCTGCATCAAAACTTTTATAAGATCTTCCCGTTCAACTTTGCATCATAAATTAACTACGCTTGATAACTCCGAAAGCTGCCGTCGTCAATAATTGCTGCTTAGAAAAATGACACGAGGCATTACCCTGAATGAAATACTGAAGATTTTGTTTATTCAGATTTAGTGCAGCGCATATGTAATATAATAAAAATCATAAATTATAAACCTTTAGTTTATCGAGAATTAAATTATAAAGCGTAGTTATTTGTAGTCTTTAATATCATCTCAATTATATCAATAGTTGAAACATTTCAAACGGAAAATGTTCTAGTACAAAGTGACCGTTGTCTTAAATCGTCAGCAGAAAAGCGGCTATAAAGCTGGACAAAATAAATTGAAACACATTGTCGTCCTCAATGCCCGGTCTGGGGCTTACAAGGCTTTTATAATATCAGGTTCACAATGTACACACTCGTAGAACTCTCCGCTTTCGTAGCGCCGCGAGTGTGCCGCTTCCGTTCGCCTCACCTGAGCTAGCCATTGCAACTTCTGTCTTATTGATTTCGAAGCACGAAACCAATTTTGTCCTTAACTTTAAACAATAGGCCAATTTGATAATGCATTTTATAATTCAATGTTATAGACTGGTTTGCATAATGTTTTATACTGCCTGCACTTCTCTATATTGTTGAAAACAAAACTGTTAAAGACCGCTTATGAGTGTTGAGGCCACCACTTGTATAGTTGTAAATGTAATATCAACATAATTTTATTTCACAAGATTGTTTTATATATAATATTAATGGACGTAATCACGGACGGATCATTTAATCAAAATTAAATTTATGAATTCATTTTTATTTAATATCTACTATCGTATCGATCGTGCGACGTAGGTACATATTATTATTATCTTCACGTCGGAGAGCATTTTTTGGCAGATTACAGCGCTCAAATTGCTTAAAACATAACAATATGAATGACAAGTAAACTGAATAAGAATACAGTTTTTTCATATCGTTTGGGAAAACAAAAACTGTATCGGATCGCAGTTATTGGCATTTTTCGGGTTTAATATATGGAGGTCACGGACCGGCTGCCAACCTTAAACGAGACAGATAACGCTGATGTTGTGTTAACGTGTTATCTTAATATATTTCTATAATAATTAAAAAATATTCAAGAACATTAATTACATTGTTAAAATAATTGTATTGTAAGTGCATATTATATCAAGCAAGCTCTAGCTTGGGTTAGTTCGTCCGCAATCACACACCACCTGCGACTTTCATTCATATATATAATGATAATATTTATATTTATTATATTTCGCGTGGAATAATTTCCCACGAGATACATACTATATCCAGGCTAAGCAATAAAGCATTAATGGTACAAATAAAAGGGCGTTGTAGGTCCACAACATGATTCTTTTCCACTTCATTTCTATTTTGCGAAAACTCAGTTAGTCAGTTGTGTGTTTATGCATTACAAATAAACAAACTATAACCGTTTTCCAGAACAATAAGATACTGAAAATGTGTGAGTCAACAATTTCATAATTACACCTATGTACCTATAAACGTAGGTATAATATTAAAGCAAAACACAATTTCAAAGACCTATCTTATGAAATGATTATTTTTGGCCACTTTTAAACAAAATGAAGTAAGTAAAAACATTCCTTGTCTTATATTATGTTACTGGGTCGATGTGTCGAATGTCGCAAGATGAACCACTCGGCCAACTGGTCCAAAAACGTCTTACTTCATATTCCTACGTTAAGTATAGTTATTTAATTTCGTATAAATCAACCAGAATAAAGTATTTACGAAAGCATCAATACTGTATGCCAATGACCAGCCAAACCGTTCGTTCGTTGGCAGCCTTGGCACGAACATTGGGTATCCTTTGTAGAATAATGAAAATCCCGCAGCTGATCGGTGACATATAGGGTAATATGCCGTACCGCAGAGTAACAACGAGCCGCATTTGTTAGCTGTCTTCACGGCGCAAGCAATTGAAAACATCCTTCAGAGCAGCTATGAGAAGCTTTTTGGCTCCTTGTATTGTGGCATAAGAGTAAAGCCCGATATCACTTCAGTGAGAAGTAATTTTGTATTAAAATCCAGTCCTTTAAATCATTTGTCATATTAAGTCTGACCATTGATCGTTACGAGAGCGGTCTGTTCTAGCGTGAGTTTGTTGTAAACTCAACGCTTAACTATCTGGTAACTTGTGCTATGTTCTTGCGATGTTCCGAAACCAACTCTAGAGTGTGTAATTTGTTGGACCGAGAATACTAAGACATGTGTCTCATAAACAGTTAGACCGCTTCATAGAAAACTTATACATTGTCCGAGCTGCTCGTATAGAACGAACAGACACGGGGTACGTGCTTACCGCGATGTGTAGTCAGCACAATCGTAATAACTGAACATTCCAATAAACAGCGAACTCGCTCAACGCTGCGCAAACATTGACGCCAACTGTTGCTAATGTTATCGGTACCGACACCCAGGCATATAACATACATTGAAGTACAAAAGTTAGCTTCGGTCCGTTTTTATTTAATTTCAAAACAATGTACTTACATTATATTAAGATACCTAGATTAGGCAACTATATAATAAGTAGGGAAAAAACAGCCGCAAAATATTTTTGAGTCTTGATTATTTCAATTAAAATTGTACAACTCCAATCCAATATTGTCAATTATTTTTAAGGAATGAGACATTTACAAAGTCTGCGGGAGATCTTTCTAAAAAAACGCGATCTTTGTTTATTGCGACGGATATAACATTTAAAGTGACGTGTTGATATTGATATAAAATGAGTGCACGAAAAAGTTATTTCAAAATATTATATTTATTTTATTTGAAAGCTCACTGCTTCATCACAAGAATATTTTTATAATATTATTCAACACGAGGAATTTTGTCAGGTTGAATAATATTATTTGGCGTTCAATGCTCAAACAGCATCGCTGCCAATGTTTATCAGATGAAATATTCAATACGAGCTTACAATTCACGGCACCTTAAGAGGAATTAAATTTATCACTCTGACCGTCCCCTTCTTTGAATACCTACATTTGCGAGTTGTGTTTGAGGGACAATATGAGGACAACGGGCAAGACCAAAAGAACACGAGATCGCAATTAGGGGAATGATTAATTCTACGACTGCGATCCATCAGCGACCATCCGAGATTCTACGCGTGCTTGTATAGGTCCCAAAGCGGAAAGGCCGAAACTGACCTAGTATTCGAGCAAATGCAAACAGCTATTACAGATACCCTACCCCTTCTCCAACCGCTGAAATCGTTATACTTTAAACACCCACCATGCCGATTGGCTCGGCTCTGAAACTACCGATCACCCGGGGTTCTGTTTACAACTTTGCTTTGGCATATGACTTGCTACAAATTGTCCCTGGGTTTATTCGAATAACAGATGTCAATGGCCATAACCCCTCTTTTTTGGAACTGCTGTTTGGACACAGCGAAAGCCTTCAATCGGATTTAGAAAGAAATTATTCAATTGGATTTCCAGCTTTCTCGCTGTTTCAATTTCGTCATCGACGAAGCACGTTTCGACCTCAAACCTGTGACCGCTGAGGTCTTTTATCCTACTAGTCCAATTGAACCCCAAGAAGACATACACGTTTTCCGCAAAAAAACAAACTTTGTCGCCAATACTTTGGCGTTGACATAACGAATGACGTTCAGTTTCGCGGTCATTTGGAAGGAAAGGCTAAATTAGCCTGTATGAAGCTTGGTGTGCAAGGCGAGACGGTACTTCACTCCGAGCCACCGCTCTCTATTCTATAAAGCC